TTTTTATTTAAAAAAAAAATTATAAAATATTTTTATTTTTTAAAAAAATAGATCAGATATAAATTTATAAAATTTAAATGGATAGTTTAAGGAATATCTTATGATCTACTAGGCCAATTTTAATGATTTAACTGCTATTCTAATTACAAGATACTTCTCTACAACTTTATTTAGAAGTTAAAAGAAGGGCTGTTTAGTAAAGAAAAAGGTTTTCTTTGAAAAACTTCAAATTTCAAAGACAAGATTTGTATTTGAAATTTGGGCAAGATTTAAGATTTGGAATTGGAATTTGGAATAAGTTTAGGTTTTGGGATAAGTTTAGGATTTGGGATGAGTTTGGGATTTGGGATGAGTTTGGGATTGGGATTTGTTCAGTTTGGGATTTGGGTTTATCCAATTAGGGTTTGGTTTTGGGTGAAATTTTGAAGATTTTTAGTTTTGCTAACATGTATATATATACATTACTGTGATACTTGAGTTAATATATCTTTGCTATAAAAAATAACAGTAAAATTTAATAAATATTTAAAAATTATTTTTTAAAATAGATTAGTTTAAAAATAATACAAAACTTTGACAATCTTGTATAGATTTTAATAAGTTTAAGTTTGTTGAAATTGTTTCTTAAAAGAGGTTATTGATTTATTAGCCCAATTAGGATGATTTAGCTACTAAAATATTTATCTTAATAAGATGATTCCAATAAGTACAAAATTGCTAAAATCCAATTACAGGATCCTAAGAATACTTAAGGTTTGTGTAGTTTTAATAGTATTTTTTTAAATTACTATGAAAATATCTTTAATACTAAATAACTTTTGAAAATAATCACCTCGATATAATAATTATTCTAACAAGCTTAAAATTATTTAACTCTGATTACAAGATCCTGAGATCATTAAGAATTAGTATGATATAGACAATCAACTAAAAAATGGGTTTTTATATTTTTTAGTTGATTGTTTACATCATACTGATCCTTAACAATCTCAGGATTCTGTAATTAGAGTTAGATAATTTTGGGCTTGTTAGAATCATTGTATCAAACTGATTATTTTGGTGGCTAAATTACCCAAAACAGATCAGTAAATCAAAAGTTATTCAGCATTAAAGATATTTTTATATTAATTTGAAAAAATTCTGTTAAAACTATACAAACTTAAGTATTGGGATTTTGTAATTGTATTTAAGCAGTTTTATGCTTGTTAGAATCACCTTATTGAGACAAACATTTTGGTAGTTAGTTATTCTAATCAGGCCAGTAGATCAAAAGATATTAGCAATTCCGTGAATCAGCCTATATGATAATTTTATATTGCCTAGCTATACTAAAGATTAAACAACATGATGACTTTGTTGATTGAAAATGTCAGAAGGTAATTTTTAAGGCAAAGACCCTATATATATATAAAAAAAAGGTACTTCTAGGCATCTCTAGCTAGAGATGCCTAACAATAATACTTCAGGCCTAGGAGCCAATTAAAAAACAAACAAATCATGTAATAGCCATTTTGTATAGCACAAAGGTAGCATTAAAGATGATTATCATAAAAAACAGCAAAAACAGCAAAAAAAGTAAAAAAATGTGAAAAATACAAGAAATGGCTATCTAAACCTATTTCGAAGCACTAATTAAAAAATGCCGGGAAAGCAAATTTACTTATAGTAAACTAATAAAATATATAAAAAATATAAACAAAGTATACAATTTAAAAACTAGTTTTTTATTGTTTATATAGTAAGTACAGTAATTTAAAATAAGTTACCGTGAATAAGCACCCACCTTTTGCAATTTTCATATCCAAATTTCTCATGATGAATCTACATAGTTTGATAAGTTGATTCGAATAGTATCAGATCCGATCACTAGATCATGAGAAATTTGGATATGAAAATTGCAAAAGGTGGGTGCTTATTCACGGCAGGATTTAAACTTTTTATCACAATTCATAAATTTTAAAAATACATTTTTAGCTTTACTATGATCAAGATTTATTTATACCAACATATAATCTAAGTGCAGTGACATTACATAGCAAAAAACATTGATTTAATCCTTTTTAAAATATTTCTTTCGCCCCCCAGTATATTACTTAATATTTAATTTTTTTTTATACAATTATTGAAACACCTTAATATTTATTAAACCATATAAAATCCATAAATGCCGTGCCAAGTGCAAAAAATAAGACATTTTATACAGAGTAAAAACTCAATTGCCAAATTTGACTTTGAGCAAGTATCTCTGGAAAATCTGGCTTACATCATATATAATATATTCATTGTAACACAAATAATTATTAGAATTTACAGATGTCCCTTTTCCACATGGAACCATGACACCATTTTCTAAATGAACAACTCCTTTAGGATCAGGAGCGACTTGGCCCAGCCCTTTAGCACAATGTTTACCTTGCTTTTTAACTTTTTCATCAGCATAATAATCAGAAGTTAGAAACTCCAACATGTCACCACACGCGACTTCACATAATAACATAAATCCAATATTATCACCATAGCCTGTACAACAATAATTTGCAGATTTCGATACACAATCAGCAAAATAAACACCCTTTCCAAACATGTATCCACTAACAGGAACGTGCGGTGGAGCAATTCTCAACCCCTGACTTAGAATACCCACAAAATTTGTACGTCTAGAACCATGCCATAATAACATCCTGTTATTAAGTTTCGAGTATGGTTTATATCGCTCTTTTTCACCTTGACGTTCAATATCAAACACCTCAAGAATTTCTAATTTAGTGTAGTGGGTAGCACCTTGCGTGTTCTTTACGTAGTTAAGTATGAGTTTGAATTCTTCAGAGTCATGATCCAATGGTACCATTCTTTCTAAACCAAGTAAATCATAGTTTGCATCTAACTGATTCTTGGAAACATCTGCATTCTTAATCAATGAACTCGCAATTTCAATTTCACCTAATGCTTCTACCATTGCCATTTTTAATTTAAGACTCGCGATACTGTTGATGATTGGTGGTTTATTAAAACCAAAATTATGAGGAATAACAGTATAAAAATCGTTTGAAAGCTCAACTAGATCACCATCACCTTCACTAGTCAATACAGACTCAATACTTTTAAGAATTTTGTAGCCTTGAGTAATTGTGGATTTAGAAAGTTTACCTAATGGCAATTTAGACGCATCATAATTTAATTCAACCATGGCATTATTCCATGTATCAACGTCAAAAATCATACTAATAATGTCCTGAACTTTGGGATGAAGTTCTGAATCAGGAATGGGAGGTGGTGTCTCGACTTTATTTTTAACTGAGGCATCAATCTCATCATCATCACCATAATCACGTTCTAATAAGGTGTATTTTCCTTTCACGACTTTAAAATTTGACTTATCTTGGCAAACTTCAAACCAATTATTCTTAGTTTTATCACGAAATTTCCTTTCGAACTCGCGTTTAGCCATATCTAGAGTTACCCATGGGCCTATCATTGCATGCTGTCCATCATATCCGACCCTACCCCATCTTGAATAGACATAGTAATTAGTTGCAGAATCGGACTTCAGGAGTTGAATAATAAAAAATTTATTATTGTTAGCGCCTGCATTCGTTTGATTGAGAAGACAATCCCAAACTGCTTGATCATCGGAGAAAACATGAACCGTATTCTTCATTTGACATAATTCATCAACAGGTGCTTTACCTTTCTTAATAATCTTGACCATTTTTTTTTCTTCAACGATCTGAGTAACATTACCGTCTTGATCACTAGTGGTGACTTTCGCGATAGTTGTAATTGAATCACAAGTAATTAAACTATCATCATGCTTGTCAGCTCGTCTTTTTTTACGTAATGGAGTAATATCCTCAGATTCAGATGTATTATCGTTCTTGTGCTTTCCAGAATTGATGTTCGCGTCATTCATGTCTGCATCATCATCAGGAGTTTCAGAAGGAACATAATCCAATTCACTTTTTTTACTTTTTTCATTGATAGAGTCTTGAATCCAGTCCCAAGTCACAATGAATACGTCACTTTTATTCTTTGCAGCCAAAACTTTTGAACTATTCTTTTGATAATCTTCGTTCGTGACTACCAGGTGAGTAGTTTTTTTTGTGAAGTTCGAGGAAACAGTTGCACCGTACTCTTTTACAGTAGCGGAGAGTTTTGCGTGGTTACCGACCGCGAAGACACCAGAAAAAGTGATACAACATTCGTTTAGGATCGACATTTTTTTTTTTTTAATTTCAGGAAGGTCAAAAATATGTCAAAAACAAAAGTTTAGACGCGAGTTAGATATTTTTGTGGGTTTAAGCGAGCAAAGCCTCGAGATGAACTTATTTATTTACTTTTGTCTGTCTATTAAAATGACTGTGCGTGTGAGTTGGGAATTCGTTGGGGAATTGGGGTAAAATGAGATGCATGCGGTCAATAATCGCAGCTATATATGTCAAATGAAATAGATGTTGTGTAGCAACGTTATCCGCAGTTAACCAATTGAAACTTCGTATCTTCTCATTGTAGATATTATTTGGGAAAAGTTCAATGACGTACGTACGTACGTACGTACCCCTATCTGCTATATCGTGATAGAGGTGTCTCTGCGCAGCATTTGCAGTGTATACGGCAAATGACACAAAAATATTGTATGGTTAGAACTAAAGTTCTTCTCACGGTACTTCAGTACTTCTGATGTTATGGGAATATTTTTCACGATAAAAATGATTATCGTTATCGTATAAATTCTATCTCATTTATCATTCTTTAACTACTGTATATATAATTCAATCGTCAAATTACCAGCCTGACTGAGCGGCAATTGTTCATTTATTTGTTTATTAAACTATTACTTTATTTGGATTAATAATGTAAACAAAAAAAAACAAATTGTGATAACGATGATCAAATTTTAATTTTTTAATACTAGTGTATAGAAAAAGATTAAAAATTCCAATTGAACGTTACAAATAATTTATGGATATTAATGAAAGATTTATTAATTACAATGTTTTGGTTTAAAAAAAATATTATCATTGTCACTTGCACCATATAAACTGTAATATAATGTATATGACGTTATAGGCAAATCAAATCGGTCTATATTGTATAATACTATATCGTGCTTCTATATTTCAAAATCAGGTGATCACGAGTTATATAAAGTGTTATTTTTAACATTAACTTTTAACGTTAACTTTTATGGGTTGTGTACAAAAATATATAGTTTACTAGCAGTCTACACAAGAAATTATTCAAGGTTGGACAATTTCTACTTTTATGATAACAAAGTAGTTAGACTTATACTCATTTTCGTTATTTTAATGTTCTATTTAACTATTCTAGCCATTGTGCTAATTTTCATTTTCCTATTATTCTTTTAGTACCAAGGCAATTTTTTGGAACTTGCACTATGCTAGAAACTGTAGTATTTTAGAACTTTATTCCTTTTACAATATATATGTTTAATAATAGCTTTGAAGTGTAATTATAGATGTTATTATCAGTAGAGTTTATTACCAGTAAATAATTCTTCTATAGAACTTCTAACCATTGTCAGATTACTATATTTTTTGACTTCAATAATATATCAGCATGCTTTATTTTCATAATACACTACTTTGCCAAAAATAACCATCTACTATAAATATAGGAAGTATAAGTACAGTTTTAGCTTCAATTTTTAATTGATTTTTGTTTCAGTTCTTCATAGTCGTCTTCTATATGGAACCCTGCATAGCAAAACAGTGTATTGGGACAATCATATGATTTTGAGAAAATTGCAATTGAAAATCATCATGTGATTAATTTTAATTATAATAATAATAAAACAAATTTTAAATTTATACACATTTTATTAATTTTTTTTTTAAATAATTCGGCAGTCTTGCTTTCACTTTATTAGGCTTTGTAATAATTATTTAAACTATTAAAATTTTCTACAGAGTTACACTCTGTAGTACCTAAATTACAAGTGGAGACTCACCTAGTTACTCACTAAGTACCTACGTGTGACTTGCTATAGTAAAATTCACCTTTGTATTATTTTATTCTGCACTTGGCTTCAATAATACATTAATAGCTAGTTCTTACTATCTGTCAAGACTACATATTAGTTTTTCACCAATCTGCCTGTTGTCTTTTTTCAATCCACTTTAGAAACTCTTTTTTAGTTATTTCAAAAATTGAACTACATTTTTTATCCTCTTCTTCATTTTTATCTTTTTCTTTTCTCCTAGTACATTTATCTAGTAGTTTCTTTTTCTTCTTTTCCTTTTTTGCCTTTTTGTGCGATCTTCTTTTATTTTTTAGCACGATCCCATTTTCTTTCTCCTATTCTTGCACTAGTTTACATCTTGCAACCCATATTCTCTCATGGACTTCTTTCATCCAATTCTTCCAAAGTCTACTTAAAAAGTTCTTTGTTTGATTATTTGAGTTGAAGGAAGGTCTCAACTCATCAAAGTCTTCTTTCATGATCAGGTCACTAATTCATCTCTCTCTTCTACGTAATTCCTCAGCTTGAAATCCCTTTCCTAGCATTGTTAAAACTTCTTCTTTGATGCTCTCACGGTTTTCTATCTTTAATTCAAGCAGGATTGCTTCTACTACTTGCTTCTCTAGCTCACAGAGTAGGTTCAGAGAAGTTTCACAGCTTACCAGGTGTTTTATATTCTCTTTCTTCTTTTTACATATGACATATTTATCTGTCTTGTATATTTCTAGCTTTCTCTGATTGAGTTTTTCGAACATTGGGAGCATGTTGTTTATATACTTTATTTCAAAGAGCTGTAATGCATTTGATTTAAAGGTATGGTTTCATTGTCTAGTTCTGCTCCTCATTATCATCAGGAAGTTTGAAAAGCATTTGAAAAGTATTAACTAATGCTAGTTATTATTTAACACTAAAAGAAGTAGGGAAACAAACCCTATACAGACTAACAGCATTAATA